GAGGCTAGATGAGGGGTTGAAGTAACCCCCAGGGGGCAACCCCAGGGGGAAAAATCCAAAGCTTCATACTATCATGGGAACATTGATTATCAGGGGGTGGAGGGGTTTTACGGCAAGTATTGGAATCTGGATTCTGGGGATTGGCCCCCCAATATTGAAGTCCTCAATGATTAGCTGTGCCCTAACAACAGGTTTCCGTTCTTCACTATTCCAGAAACCAGGTGAAACTACAATTGCCACGACATCCCAGCGAACTTAGACCATTCATCCTTTTTCGCAGGCACCACATTTGTTAAGTTGCACTGACATACTGCCATCCCCATGATCCTCCCAAACCCAAAGCTTTAAACCCTAAACACAGCATATAGCTGGGGATGGCTAGGGGAATAGTGATTAGTCATTCGGACACTTAGGAGATTGGTATCCGAACGCGTTGACGCAGAGATTCACGGAGCATTCACGGCGAGCATGTTTGGGCTGACATTTTGGGATTTAGGGTTTAGGGCCTCCGTTTACTGGGTCCGGCATGGAAACAAGTTGGGGGTCGAACTCATTTGGTTGATAAACCCCAGCTTGAGCAAGTTGCTCTGTCGAGGGGGAGCCCCGGAGAGGCCGCACGATGATGTGGACGACGTCAAAGCGAGGCTCCAAAGGGTACTCATGGGAGTCTTTCTCGCTGTAAGAAAATGCTGTGGTCAGCCCGTGTTAACGGCACGCTGGTCGTGAGCCGTTCCTGGAGAGATGCTGGTCAAAGCGCCGACTCTGAGGAGCGCATGCTCGCAGAAAAGCTGAAGGCGGAAAATGCCAACTTGAAGGGCCAGCTGGACACTTGTCTGCTCTGAGAGTTTAAGTTTTTTAGGTGCTCAGGGGTCGTAGTTGCCAACTGCCACGTCCGGGTGAAGCTGGCAAGCGGCCAAGAGGGGGTTTCCAAACATCAGGGGCCACTTATCTGGGAGTCCCCATAATTAGTAAGAACTCCCCTATATTGGGTCGAAAATTCATGCATCCAATTTCTGAAACCCTCCCAGAAATAGCATAATTACCGTAGACTCTAGCCCTAGACCTTCAATCCTCAGCCCTGAACCCTTGCACCCCAAATCCTTAATCCGTGCACCCCTAAACTTCAAAGGGCTCAACAGGTGGGATGAAAGAAGGTGGGTTATAGGAAATCAGCATTAATATCGTAGCGTGTAAAAAAGGATCCTTTAACCCACCTATCTTCATCCCACCTTTTGAGCCACCTGAAAACTGCGGCGGCTGGAATCCAAATCCCTACGGTAATGGGTTCTTAGTTCCCAACCCTAAACCCTGAACCCTAAACCCTAGGGTCCTTTGGATCCCTTAAAGTACCCATGGGCAAGGAAAAGCTTCCTCAGAAGTTGCGGCCAGAAGATGCTGCGAAGGTCGTGGTGCAAAAGGCTGGCGCTAGGGTTTCTGAGGGTTCTGGGGTTCAAGGGTTTTTGGGTTTGGGGTTTAGGGGCATTGGGTTTGGTGTTCAGGGGTTTAGGGGTTTTGGGTTTAAGGGTTTTGGGTTTAGGGGTTTTGGGTTTGGGGTTTAGGGTTATGGGGTTTAAGGGTTTAAGGGTTTAGGGGTTTAAGGTGCAAAAGGCTGGCGTCAGGGTTTCAGGGTTTCAGGGTCGGAGGTTTCGTTGTTAGGGTTTAGGGTTGGGCGTTTAGGACTTACCCTATAAGGGGTCCAAGAACCCAAGAATCATATACTTACCCAAAACCTCTACCAAAATCATTGTTACCCAAATCCCAAGTACCAAATTATTGGGCACATGGACCCTCTGACTTAGGATTAATGGAGGGTGAAGGGTTTGAAATTGGGGGATTAGGGAGTCTTAGGTGAGCTTTGGCCTAGACCGCCCAAATACCAAGAATTTCAGCTTCTGTCCCCTGTTTGAGATTTAGGGTCCAGCGATTATGGTTTAGGGTTTAGGCTTCGGATTTTAGGGCTTAGGGTTGCGGGTTTAGGGCTTTTCAGGGTCTAGGATTGTTTACGTCATTCCCAGCTATGTAAAGGTTTCCACAGTTCTGGCAGGTACTATAAGGGGGAATGCCCCCAGGCATATTACGATTGTCATTCCGTGTTATTATTATCATTAATATCAGTACGATTTCTAACACTAGTAATGTTTTTACTCCTATTGTTATATTATTTCTAGTATCACTATTTTGTTACTAGTATTTATTGTTACTATTGGTACTATTGTTGTCATTATTGCTATTTTTTGGCGATTACGTGTAAAGCAGCATGAGTTTTTGGAATATTAACGTAGGCCATTGGCGTTGCTCGCAACCATGCTTTTCACATACTTGCTATCATGAGTTAAGGTAAGGTCCCGTATATGCCACTCCATTCTTCAAAGGTACGGTCTTAAGCGTCAGAAAACCCAGCTCCTCCTAAATTTCAAACTCTGAAGAACAAACCCAGACCCCAGGGAGGATCTAGAAACTCGAGCCCCCTTGAGGGTTCCTAGAAATTACCCAGTGGTAGACTAGGCTACCATATGAGGGCCTTTACTTTCTAGATTCTCCCTCGGGTCTGGAAACCTTACTTAACTCCTAAGCCCTTACCCCAAAACCAAGAATTTTAAATTTTAAGTCTTTAAAGTTTAAATTGTAAAAGCGAAAGGCCAGACCTTTCCTAGACAGCCTGCTGAAGATCGTCGAGGCGCGCCCCCCTGCCCAACCGGCGAACTCAAATGTCCATCTTTTTCGGGGTTTAGGGTTTAGGGCAGGGATGTTTGGAAGTCAAGATGGGAGTTAGAGTTGTAGGATCTATAGAGCCCAGGACTTAAGGGCAAGGAATTCAGGGCTCAGGATGTAGGATTTTCGGAATTATAGCGTGGGCATGCTGAGGTTCAGACATTTAAGATTCCCTTGTGGGCCATATTCTAAACTCCAATTATCCCCCCAAATAACTCACTATAATCGTCCCCTATAGAATCCCTTGTATACCCCTTCAAGGAGTTTAGATGAGTTTAGATTATGGGTCATGTGGACCCTTGCGATCTGTATTTTGACAGTGGACATCCTAGGGATATGCAAGGTCGTTCATCCCTAAATCCCTGAACCCTAGGTCGTTCTTTCGAGGAGGAGTGGAGCTCCAGAGTAGTCGCCAGATACACAATCCCCAGCAGCAATCCCAAAATGTCCTTCCTTCATTCCGTACTATATGGCGCTCAAAAGTCGTTAAAACAATGGTCGGAAAACAGAAAAATTGGCCAAAACAACTCCTTCCTGAATTGGGCCTCTATTACCCTAAGGCTCAAATTAGCCCAACAGCCTTGTATAGTATGGTCTCTGGGCACCCTAAACCCTAAACCCTAAACCCTGAACCCTAAACCCTAAACCCCAAACCGTTATGAGTCCTTAGACCCTTAGGGTTACTCTTTCATCCATCACAGGCTACAGCCGATTCAAGCTTCCAAAATTTCTGAGCTGCAGGGATGCCAGAAACAAGTTTCGGTTGAACCGTGTTTAAACACCTAAGGGTTAGGGTTTAGGGTCGAGGGTGTAGGGTTTAGGGTTTAGGTTTTAGGGTTTAAAACCCTACAAGGATCCAAGGAATTAAATAATAGGGTTTTAGGCCCAAATATTATAATATTAATGGTATTTGGGCTCTGAAGCCCTATTATTTGGGTCCTTGGACCCTCTCCAGGACCTTCCTAGTACGTAGGAGGGGGGTCTAGGAAACAAGTTTTTTGTTGAACCGTTTTTTTAAAGCCAACTCCCAGAGAAATCTCTAAAGGCTATAGTCCCCCTGTAGTAGATAGAATATTGCTTTGGGTATATTATAGTAAGATCCCCATATACCCCATATTCTATCTACTTAAGGGGGACTATACTCCGTACCAAGCCCCAAATCACATTAATGGCAAGAATCAAGTCGATGCTTTTCTTACATCTGAGAGACCACAGGGTATGTATTACGACCCCTGAATTTCCCAGACCTTCGTTTCGAGCTTGGTCCGCCCGGAACTCCGGGGACGGGGGGGTGTTTACTGTATTCAAACGACTTTTTTTTCTGTTGAAGGTAGACTCCTGGATTAAGGGGTATGGGGCTCCCTGGTTCATTTCGTTGAAAGGAGATCGGGGCCAGTCCGTGTGAAGTGTGTTCCTAAGGGTCCACGTACTCAATATCCCATATGTGTATATATATATATATGTACACACACCCATTCTGCCTATGCTACAACTACCTAGAGGGTCCAAGGACCCAAATAATAGGGTTTTAGGGCCCAAATACCATTAATGGTGTGGTATTTGGGCCCTAAAACCCTATTATTTGGGTCCTTGGACCCTCAGGGCTACATTAATGACCAAGTACCAAGTATTGAATTCTTGGGCATTTGGACTCTCAGGGTGTCAGAATCACGCGGGGCTTGAGTTTGCTTTGGTCGGAGATCTGCCCCTAGGTTGCCCCAAGCTTTACCTAGACCCTCCAATGTAGTTCATTTTGGGGTTTGGCATGGTGTTTTGGTTAGGACCATTATTAGGACTACCAAAAAGGTACTACATTGGAGGGTCTAGGTAGATGTTCAAAGGTTGGAAAGCCGTCGTCCCCTACAAACTTAAACATCATACCTGGTGCGCGGCGAGGCCCACCATGTGAAACAGCTGTCCCCAGGGCGAAGACATGTGAAAGCTGCAAGGGCTCGACGTATTAGCTTCCCTGCCCACATTTCGTGAAATTTCTTCTGCAGCCATCGTTTCCAGTTTGCAACAAGATTATACCTGATCCACGCCCGTATAGCTCACGGGAATCTGAATTGTCAGGTAGTGTGTAGAGTCAGTGTACAGTGCCTGTGATCGTACCGCAGGGCCCCTTGGGTTCAGGATTCACGTCCTCTACGTTGCTTTGTCACACAGATGCAATTTGAGCGTATCAACAAGTGTTTTCTGGCCTTCATGCGTTGTAGAACCATCAGTATACAAACATAGATGCGGCTCACAGTTGTTTAGCTAGCGCAGTGTTGAGCCTTCTTGCCAAGATGCTTCGCATATGCCGGATGTCAGGACAGGAGCTGCCGACAATCAGCATGGAGGGGATTTCGGATGTGCGAGATTTGAAAGCTTGTCTTTGCAGTCTTCACGGCTTTCCTATGTGCATGCAACAGCTGCTGCACAATGGCAACTGTTTGGACGATTGCACCAAGCTAGATGCCCCAATCGACTTGCAATTAGTCCTTCTTGCCCTTTCCACGGAAGTGCAGCAGCGGGGGGCTGTAACCGAGCTTTTCAAAGCTTGCATGGAAGGTAACCTGGAGGTCGCAAGGCTGCTTTTGGAAGCAGGTGCAGAAACGATGGATCTCCAAAACCGCACAGCCCTCATGCTCGCAGTTGAGCATGGCCACATGGAGATCATACGGCTGCTTTTGGAAGCTGGGGCTGACACGGACGCGCAGGGTCCCGACGGAACAGCCCTCACGCTGGCGGCTTCGACTGGCAAGGTAGAGATCGCACCGCTGCTTTTGGAAGCTGGTGCTGACAAGGACCTGCATAATTACAATGACAACACAGCCCTCATGGTCGCAGCAAAGAATGGCCAAGTGGAGATCACGCGCCTGCTTTTGGAAGCCCATGCCAACAAGGACGCCCATTCTCACGTTGGCGTCACAGCCCTCATGCTCGCGGCTGCGCATGGCCACATGCAAATCACACGGTTGCTTTTGGAAGCTGGTGCTGACAAGGACCTGCGGTGTGAGGGGGGCCGGACTGAGACTGCCCTCATGCTCGCAGCTGATTCTGGCCACATGCAAATCGCACGGTTGCTTTTGAAGGCTGGTGCTGACAAGGACCTGCATAATTGAAATGGCGAGACAGCCCTCATTCTCGCAAAGCGGAAGGGACACACTCAGATTGCTAGGTTGCTGAGGCCAAGCTCACAGGAGCACACAGGCAAACCGCGGATGAAAGGACTTTCAGGACTTCGTATAACCCCAACCGCCTCCTGTTTCATGTGGTTACTATGCCCACAAATCAGGAGGTACTTACTCCTAACCTGTAGGTCATCGCGTCTTGCTAGAACTGGCATGAAGCTGCTATTCTTGTCACTCTTGTGGTCCAACCCCAAACTTCTCAACCCCAAACCCTACCACCAGGGAGATGTTGAGGGGTCAAAGTCCAAACGAGTACGTGGTTGCCCAGAAAAGAGAAGTTGCTAGAATTGTCGTCCCTTTTCCCAGAGCATCCAGATTGATCGCCATTATGGAGTAGGCTCCCCAAAGCCATGCCACAGAAGGATTTCTGGATTCTATAATTCTTTACTAATTGTATATGGAGACATTTTGGGCTTCTCATAGCTTAGCTGCTGAGGAAATTGGAGTAGGTTTAACCAATGAGGAAACCATAGTATTTGCTGAATATTCGATGTATGGTAACTTGCATTAAAAGCTTCTGAACCGCAATCCAGTTGTTGGATCCCGTTGATGCCCCAAGAAGTTATGGGAAGCCACAAGCTTAACATCAGGCCCATATTCCGCAGTCTGAGACAGAACATGACCACCACAACACCTCTTGACCCAAAACCCTAAACCCTACCCAGTGCCTTTCTATAGGGCCTACCTAAACCCCAAAAGTATGTAGAATAATGGCCTTTAGGGCTGTTATTATGGGTTTAGGGTTATTATTTTACAGATTTTGGGGGTTTAGGTAGATGGCCTAGATGAGCTATAGTCTAAACTCCTAGTATCCCCCCTTAATAAGCCCTATAGTAGTCCCATATATAATCCCCTATATAACCCCCTTTAAGGAGTTTAGGCAATGGCCTAGGTGTCCAAAAATGCGACCTACATGAGCCCCTAGTCCAGGGGTGGTTGAACCCTATTTAAGGATGGCTTTGAGATCCTGTTATTGGGTTTAGGGTTTAGGGTTTAGGGGTTTAGGGTTTAGGGTTTAGGGGTTTAGGGTTTAGGGGTTTAGGGGTTTAGGGTTTAGGGTTTAAGTCACAGTCTCTGTACCCCCGGCCCACACGCAGTTTATGGTTGAGGTTTCAGGGCGTAGGGCTTTGGAACCCAAAACTGCTTACACACGAACAGATATACACACATGCGTAAATGACTGAGTATACCTACTTTGCATATACATATGTCTACACACACAACTTTGCATCATCTGATATATATATATAGGGTCTACCTGACATACTCTACGACATCTTGTGTTATGTAGGGAAGGTTAACTCCGATGTCTAGAGCTACGACTTCAGGCGCGTTAAATTAGATTCCTGCAACTCTCACTGAGCTCAAGTACGTACACGATATCCGCTACGACCAACCTGCGACAACATGGAACACAAGATCGCGATGTTCCCTCCTTGAGGAAAAGGGTTTGGGACCCTGGAACGCGAGATTAAAAAAGCTGGCGGGTAGGAAAATTTCCCTACTTAGACTGTTGAGGTGTCGATACAGACGGGTGGCGTGGCACGGGGCCCCAGAGCAACATTCGGAAAAGCTTTGTAAGCAATGCTCCCTGAGGGTCTGCGTACTAAAACATTTCAAATTATTAAGGCTTCATGTACCAAAACAACTCAGCTAACACCCTAGTGTCAGGTCAATCCCACCTATAGTAATAGCCCCTAAATATGGAGTTAGCAGGGCTATATACCTACAATAGTCCTTTGTGGTACCCATGACTGGACCCAACCCTAGTGTCTATTCGGTACTGGACATACTTGGACCCTAAACCCTAAACCCTAAAACCTAAACTCCAAAACCAAGGGAGGGTTTGAATTGTCCTTGCATGTTCCTGAATACTCTAGTGAACCCTAAACCCTAAACCCGTTAAGAAGCGCGATCAGCTGTTTTAATAGGGATCCTACGAGGTGCTGTCTTGTTTAGCAAAAGAGCTCCCCTTGGAGTGAGCTCAGACGTGTGTTTCTCTTTCTAAACTACCTGTACTTGTAAACAGTTTGAACCCATTGATAAGCCTTCCCGAGTATCCTCGTATGAGTACATGGACCTCGAAAGTAGGTGAAATGTTGGTTCAAAACCGAGAAAACGATGCAGAATGGCATTATTCTACATGCTTCCGGGGTTCATTTAGTTTTTATTCAGTGATAAGGTTTAGGATTTGGGCTTCGTTTGAGGCCCCACAGAAGATAGAATTGTTGCCCAAGACCTATAGAAAGAACCAACATGGCTATTATTCTACATGGAGATTTTCCTAACTTCAGCATAACACGGGTCCCTGTTGCGAGGTTCCTCTGCACTACAGGTCCCTACATAATTTTCTCCCTTTTGGAAAACAGAAATTTTAGCCAAGCCCTACATACCTTTCGAGTTCAGGTAGTGGCTCATGATATTGAAGTCCCCTAAGGGTCCAAGTACCTAATAATCATATACTTGCCCAAAACCTATACCAAAATCACTATTACCAAAATCCCAAGTACCTAATTATTGGGTACATGGACCCTCTGGGGTCTAACCCGTGAGACGACACTTCCTCAAGATGAAGGGCTTTCTCTCTCAGGGCCCTGATGATACTGTGGATGGAGGAAATCTGTTATTACCTTACATATCCTATACCCCCTAAACTCTAAACCCTAAGCCCTAAAACCCTAAACCTTCTACCCCTTGAATGACAGCGTTCTTCGGGAGCTGGCATGGCCCAAGGTTTCTTCCCTCCGCTGTACAGGGACCACATCATCTTGGGGTTTCAGAGCCTTCTGCCCTAAACCCTAAGCCCTGGTTCCTAAACCTCTAATGCTTGATACAAAGCCGAGAACTGAGCCGACAGACTTTGTTTGCGGCCTTCTGGGAGAGACATTGCCAGCCTGAGATCATCGCAGATTTTCCGAAAACGCCCTAGTTGAGAAGTGTATTCCTGACATGAAGGACCCGTTTTGGGAAACCCTGCGATGACCGCTACCTGCGGATATACTGAGAAGCCTTGGGGACAGTAAGTTGGTTGAATGGGCTAGAGCCTAAACTCCTTGATGGGGAGTATTACAAGGATTACTAGAAGGATACTAGGAGTTTAAACTATGGACTTCTAATTGCGACTGCATGTACCATCTACTTACTAAGCCCGGGGCCTTCAAGTACAAGTCTATAATCCTCAATCCCTACACCCTACCATGAGCAACACTTAATTTGGACCCTGAGAGGTATATAGAGTATATACCTGCCTGGGGCTTTGCTCATCCTGAATCCTTTCAACCCTAGAAACCCTGAAATCCTCAATCCCAGAAACCTTCGAAACCCCTACTTTGGAACTATTGGGGGGTCTCGGCACTTGATACCTTATGCAACCCCACCCAGCCACTACTAGCAATAACCAGGGATAACGCTACTTGTAGTGGGTCCGTACGCATTCCTGTCATACCGTTCTCGTTAAACGGAGGGGACGACCTGATTGATACCCTAGACCCGCAACGCGACTCAGGTTGTAGATGAGGCAAAAATTGCCATGAGCAATGTTGGTCAGTGGGTGGATGCTTGGATTCATCTTACCTGCCCCAGTTGGAAAACAATAGCCGGGGAAGAAAAAGCATAATTACTTAGCTTGAAGAAGGATTGTCAAATCAGGTATGTCTTAAAAGCATAATGGAACCAGGGAACAGAAAATGAGATTGCGGATCATAAGTAAGTGGCATAATTCAGCCGCATTGGAAAGGCTACGGTCCTCATTTCGTGCTGTTTTGGATGTCCATGCTAATTGGGGGGAGGGTACCCCTACAGCCCCGACTTCAGCATCAATTGATCTCAAACCCCACCATGCTAGCTTGGGGGAACATATGCGGGTTCCCAAAATTACGGCCCCTTTTGGTTATAGGTATTTTACGGCACCTAGCATTTAGGGGTACCAAAATGAGCCATTGTCTAAACTCCTCGAATCCTACTTAATACTTCCCTACATAATCCCCAACACAAACCCCTTTAAGGAGTTTAGACTGTAGCTCAAATGGGACCCTAGTTTTGGGTGATGCCCATATTATCGTCGTTCTGCACCAGTTAAAAGGCCGCATGGCCAGGGCGACAGAACAATGCTGAGGTTGAAGGGGTTTAGATTTAGGAGTTTAGGGTTAAGGGCTCAGGTTATGGGCAGTTACAGGGTTCAGGATTTTGGTCTTACCTGAACCCCACGGAACTCAGAATTTATGGCTACATATCGCGCCAATAGCTTTGAGGTTTCTAGTGGGCATAGGGCGCCAAACCCTAAGATGAAGCCCCAAACCTTTTACACTCCCCCAAACTAACATGGAAGCCCATATAGCCCCCTTTTAGAAGGCCTGTAGTCTTTATAGGGCCCTTTTTGGGTTTCCATGTTAGTTTCCGGGAGTGTACATCTTGGTAGTCTGTGGTTTGGAAGCATGCTTACCCAAGCTGTCGCCGTAACGATGCTGAGAGTTCGAATAGTCAGCATTATGCCAGGCAGTGTCACAGGTTCGCAAGCATTGCGTAGAATTTCTTTGCGGACTTTCTGCATGAGTCCGGTCATTCGGGCTCCAATGATGTCATGCAGTAGGCTGGATATAGCCGACTTCTAAACCTTAGATCCCTAAACCTCAAGCCCTAGATCGAGGATATGAACCCATGAACCCTGTTGCACTCTTTTGACCCGAAACCCTAAGCCCTACCGAGCCCACACGCATCCACATTTCAGTCATGCTCCAAGCCCAACTGAGTAGTTTTTTTACTTGGGGATACTATGGTACCCAATATAGAGTAAGATTATATCCTCCTTTTGTGGTATAGTATCTTATATAAGGAACATAGTCTTACTGAGTTTAACCACCGAAGAAAAAAACGCTACTCAACTAGGTTCAGGGTCGGATTACAAGTTTCTTCTTGACGCACTCCCGTCTTTA